GTAGGCACCATTATCATCCTCATTCTATAGATAAGGGAGCCAAGGCAGAGCAAACCCAAATGATTTCGCTAATAAGTAACAAAGCCAAGACTGGAAATTAGACAAGCTGACTTGAGGCCCACGCTGTTAACGAAGACATTTTATCACACTATCACACTAGATCTTAACTTTATGCTGTTACGATCCAAATATGTTACCTCAGGGCAGAACAACAAACACTTCTGCATTGGAGAGAGGCCTCATGCTTTTTTGGTGCATTATGAAATACAATATTATAGATGAAAATGACAAAGACTCACATTTCCCAAAATGTCTATATGCAAATTTGCAACAATAATTTTACATTAATGTAGGCTTTACATTTAAAAGAGAATTTAACTTTGATGTATAACAGATAATACATTAAGATATTAAATCTGTAAGTCATTGTTAAAAAATAGTTCACAAATAAGCAAAGGAAACTTTCCAGTCTCTGATACATGTTCTTACAAACATGAAAATAAAATTCCTTTCCTCAACTGTCCTTTTCCATTTCACACATATTAATCTTTCCATCTGTTTTAAATAATCATGAAATTAACAGAAACTGTTTCTAATAAATCCAAATCATAAGTCCTTTCATGTCAAACTATTTTGGGGAATTCTGAGGTGAAAAAGCTGCTTAAGTGTTAGGAAAAACAAAGAACGAGAAACAGCTTTAGAAGAGACACTGAAGGACAATGAAGAACTAAGAAGGCAACTGTGGAAAGGCCTTTCCAGGTTGGGGCGGGGTACTTTAACAAGGAGGATTCTGAAGTGGAGTGGGACCAAGGGCAGAGCCTAGGCAAAATAAAACAGAAGGGAGAAACAACATCAAGGACTGTTGCACCAACACGCTAGCTGTGAATCAATAAAGAAAACCATTCCTGGTGGAATAAGCCAAGCCTGTATGTGAATTCTAACAGCCTCTTAGCCTGTGGCACTGGGCAAAAGTTTTTGATACTTTTTTGAAGCTTCATTATTTATAAAATGAGCCTCAGGGGCTGGGCGCTATGGCTCACACCTGTAATCCCAGCATTTCGGGAGGCCAAGATGGGAGGAGTGCTTGAGCCCAGTGAGCTATGATCGTGCCACTGCGCTCCAGCCCGGGCAATGGAGTGATATCCCATCTCTAAAAAAATAAAATAAAATAAAATAGACCATGGTATTTATTGAATTGAATTGCAGAGAAGATTCAATGGTACAATATCATGCAGTCCCCAGCACACAGTCCAGCATTGTGAGTGCTGAAGAAATAAATACCCCTAAGTACTACCACCAGCCCACCAGACACAAAGCAGCTGAGCAGACGGAAGCGCACCGGGAGACTCCTTCAAAGGCAGGCTGGGTAGCCTTGAAAGTCACGCCAAATTTTCTTGATAATTTATAGTTATTCTGGAACTGTTTATAATCTTAATTATTTTATAAACTAGTAAAATCAATTTTTTAAAAATTCACTGTCAAGGAAAAAATAAAGCCATTTCAAACCATGTTTTCGATCGCAGCAATCAACCACGAACCCATGTTACATACGGACCGTGGGAAATACTACTTGATAAATGCATTGTGTTAGTATTACATAAGTTATTAGGATAATTAAAACTGGTTAAAAATACTAAAAACAGTTGTTCTGGAATGCACTACATTTTTTCTGGTTGTTTGATATATGTATTATTATTTTTTAAGATACAAATGGCCAAGTCTGTTTACATAATAAATTTTCTATCATATTAGATGAAACTATAACTTTCCAGGATTGCCAGAGAACACAACTTGTGAGATATCTACTTTACAAATTGTTTTTTAAACTAAAAAATGTCTTCAATTACTATGAACATCATTATGTTGGAACATATTTTTGGCATCTTATAACTTATTTAATTCAACACTTTATTGGTCACTACTGACATAATTTTGATACCTTCAGATTTAAGAAAGAACTTCATAAAACAACCATGCCATACACAGCATAATGTTCAAAGGCCCATGAACCACAAAGCTGTGTCGTGCAGACAAGTGTGCCACCCAGAGGCAAAAGGAAGAAACCCACCTTGGATTTTATTTGTGAGACAAAACTGATAATGTTCAATTTTATTATTTATGATTATTTATTTAAAAACACAGGACATCTTTCATAAGGTTCTCTCTGCATAAATAAATCCTTTTAGTGCTAGGATATATAAAAGTGTGGCCCTTTGAGAATTCTCACAAAATAGAAGCCCTGAGATGGTACCAGTCACAGGTACACAGTTAATTAAAAAATTGAATTTAACTGTATTCTCTACAGCAAATGCTTTCTTTTTATAATGAATATAACATGTGTTTCTAGAATTACATAAGTTCTGGAACAACCACTATGATCTATTTAGACATGTGGATCAAAAGTTAAACTAATTACCAGAGACATTTCTTAACTTAAATGAAAAAAGTTTCTTTCATTAGGTCTTCTGCGTAATTTTCTTTTGGCAAAGGAATAAAGTTTACTTAGAGTAATTCTGTTTTGCAGACAGTCAGGGCTTCTAAAATATGTAACAATAATTGTTAAGGTTAAAGAAAACAGTCAACTCTATTAAACTCACATAAAAACTCAAGCTTCTAATAGCCTAAACAATAGGCTGATTTTAAATAGAGATTTATGATATCCTCATTTTGTCTCAGAAGTCTGAATGTTGGGATTACTGTTAGCATTGGACCATCCTTTAAGATTTATGTATTCTACTATGAACTATAAAAGATATTGAACTTTAACTTAATTAAAAACATAATATGCATTATGATGTAAAAACAACTTTAAGCACAAAATTTGGAAATTATTTTGTCTGTACTACAAAATCATATTTCTTGAAAATGATTTGTAAAATAATTTTTTTTTCAGGTTCTCAAATGCTATATAACATACTCTTATTTCATCTCATTTTACTATTTCATTTCCACATCAACACATCTTAAAACAGAAAGGTAATTCTAAACTCACCTATTTATGTGACTTTCTAAAAAACTCATTCTAAGGAACATTGTTTACTGCTAACTTACTTGTTTTTATAAAATGAGAAGGATCTATAGTTAATTATTATTTCCAAGTAAATGTTTTTTTCCCGCAAAATATTAGCAAAAGGCTTCTTAAAAGTAGAGCATTGTTAAGTAAACCTTCCTCTTTTGCTTCTTTCACTGAAGGAGTTCACTATTATCTGAGAGTTAATTCTCTTTTCTATACCCCATAATTCTCCACATACCCTGAATTGCATCATTCTGTAAAAGATGCTTCCACTTGCAAAGATGGCTGTAAAATATTTGAGCAGAGAGTACAAACAATTCCACTCTATGTCCCTATTTCTATATTTATCTAGGAAATAAATGAGATTATGGGTCTAAGCCAGCCTGCTACACGGATGTCCTCTATATACCGCTAAAATCACAACGGTTATGGTTATTATTTCATATAAGAGTTCAATGATTTTTAAAGTTCAAAATTGTAAAATACATACTGCAAACTCTTTAAATTCAAGTACATTTTAAAGCAACAAAAAAAGTTTGCTTATTGGCAGGGCGTGGTGGCTCACGCCTGTAATCCCAGCACTTTGGGAGGCCGAGGTGGGCAGATCGGGCGGGCGGATCACGAGGTCAGGAGATCGAGACCATCCTGGTGAACACGGTGAAACTCCGTCTCTACTGAAAATACAAAAAAATTAGCTGGGCGTGGTGGCAGGCACCTGTAGTCCCAGCTTCTAGCGAGGCTGAGGCAGGAGAATGGTGTTAACCTGAGAGGCGGCGAGCTTGCAGTGAGTGGAGATCACGCCACTGCACTCCAGCCTGGGCAACAGAGTGAGACTCCGTCTCAAAAAAAAAAAAAAAAAGGTTTGCTTATCAGGAGAACTTCTTACATGTACCCTAGCGGTATCAAAAGGTCTGTGTGTCTGCATCATACCTTCAAAGAATACAAAAAATGCAGAAAGGACAGCTACTTGATAGTTAATAATTATTCAAGTTCATTAATAAGCATTTACAATTTAAAGGGTAAATTCTCAAACACTCCCTATACCTCTAATTGGTTAAGAAAACCTAGTAATAAAATGAAATGCCTTAAAATTTCTTGAATCTTTTCTATTCCTTTCTTTCCATCCCCAATGCTACCAGCTTAGTTCTTATCGTTTTTTAAAATCTGTATTAAACACTTCCTAACAATTCTCCATTTACAGGCCAATCTCTGATTCTATCCTACTATCACACACTATCACTATCACATTTTCAAATCCATCTTCCAAATGCAGTCTAGAATCTCTGTGAAGCATAAATCAACCACATCATTTGCCTGCTTGATATCCCAAATCAAGTCAAGAGTCCATGTGTCCCTATCCATAATCTCCCTCAACTAGGAGAAGTCTTCCCAGGGGAGGAAGGTCAGGGTCTGGCCACATCCTCTCCCCCAAACCCAGGGCCTACAAGGAGGGAGAGGTAGCTAGTGGCTCCTTGGGCCTTTCTGTTTGAACTTGAACCAAACTTAAATTGCACTGGGAGAAATTAAAATAACTCCTTATCAAGAAATGTCTGGACTCGTCTTCTACCTTACAGGTAAAGTCTCTCACAAAAACATCCTAACTACTAAAACAACAATTTTCAAACATTTTTAAATGATCAGTACCACTTTCTTCAAACCATATTTAATGCAGAACTCAAACAAAAAGTGGTTATAATAGTATTTTGAGGTTGACAACACAGGCAGAGGTTAGATCATAGAGGCCAAAGAATAAAATTAAAATTCGGTTGGCATGATGCAATTGCAAAGTCAGTGGGGAGAAGAAGCAGGGATGTGAAACCTGATTTACATTTTTGAAAGACTACTGTGCTTGCTGTGTGTAAAAGAGTTGAAGCTACTGAGAAATTCAACACTTCTGATGTATTTTCATAAATCTTACTAATGCCTTTAAAGAATGCTATGCTATTTCCAATTAATGGGCAATCACAATAAAGGAGTCGCAGAATACCTGATCCTCGCTGGTTAATCCCAGGTGCATCACAAGATAAAAATGCACCAGGAAATCTGAGTTTGGCAGAACGTCCTGGCGTCTGGTCATCATGGCACAGATCAGCCTGTAGGCTTGCAGTTTGCCTTCCTTATATTCATTTGGCAGTGTTGCCGCCTGTCAAGGAGATGATGTTTCCAGATTAAATCAAGCCCAGGTGCAGAGCATTTCAACATTTCATTTACTTCTCAGTTTTCCTTAAGAGTTGTTTATGGACATGTGGGATGCAGTGACTTTAGTAAGACCCAGCCTGTCTTCAAAACATGCAGTCTTGGGCAATTACATTTTTCAAACTCAATTTCAGAAAGGAAGAGGAAATTGCAATAAAGGAATAAACACACATCCACTTGCCTTAAATAGCCATGATGCAAACATTCTGAGAGGTGGGATCAAAACTGGAGGAGATGGAGAAGACTGGTTATCCAGGCTTATTGCTAGATTATCCCGTATCTAATTCACAAAGAGGAGAATTTTAGGGTAGGTAACATTACGTTTATCCTAACAGTATTTCAACATTATTTTCCATGACCAAATAGCTGCTTTCACTTAAATTTCTATAAGTTAAGTGAAAACCTGTAATATTTACAAGTTTCTCTTTTGTTGTGAGATTATCCTTTTGAATTGTATGTTTGGCTCACTGTATGTGGTTTTAGATTTAAATACAAAACAAAGGCATTGCTTTTCCTTGAACGTTAATGGCTAGGGAGGTACTGAATTCCAAATGATAAGTAACGTTTTAATGAGTTATAGTGAACAAACATGAACCATGTTTTTGAAAAAAAAATTTAATAACATGTGAATGTCAGAACCCAAACAAAAATCAGAATAAAAATTGTATATACTACTCGGGAGGCTGAGGCAGGAGAATTGCTTGAACCTGGGAGGCAGAGGGTTGCAGTGAGTCAAGATGGCGCCACTGCACTCCAGCCTAGGCGACACAGCAAGACTCCATCTCAAAAAAAAAAAAAAAATATTGTATGTACTCTAAGATTCTACTTTCGTAAAAAGAAAGAAGACTATATATTAATATTGGCTATTTCTATGAATAGTGATGTTAATTTTCTTCTTTGTATTTTTCTACATTTTTCAAATTTTATACAATAAAACCAGTATCACTTTTATAAAGAGAGTAACTAGAACTACTTAACATCCTGTATTTAATATCCTATAGCGATATTCTACTTTTGCACTAAATGAAACAACTTTTGCATTTATAAAATATTCATGTTATATATGATTACTCTTCCATAATCAAATGTACTTTGTCTAAATGTACCATTTGTGTTTCAGAATATGTTCAGTAATTAACTGCAACACAGTTTTTACATTAAATGATACGACCATTTTCCTGGATTAGAATAAAAAGTAATATAGCAGGACTTACCTTTGCTAGTTTGTACCAGAGTTCATAGAGATAGCAGAAAACTCTGGCATGGATCTTGGGTGACTGGATGTTATTCACATCTCCAAGGATCCCCAAAACCCTTCGCCACAACACAGCAGCAGAGTCTGGGTGCCAACCAGTGAGGCTCCCCCCGGCGATTATACTACAGTCATCTGCGAGGCACTCACTGCTATCTATGCAGAAAAACGTATCTGTTAACCTTGTAAACAATCTTGATTTCATCATATCTTTTTTCTTTAAGACAAATTACCTATTCTTAAAAATTAATGTATTCAAAGTAAAATAATTAAGGCAAAAAATGTGAAACAGCTGAGAATTTAAAACAAGAGAAAAGCAGGATCAATGAAGAATGGTCAAATGATTTTCATTCTTCAAACTAAAAGAGCAAAAAGCTAAGACATGACATAACAGTTCCTGGAGACCCTGTGATGGGTTTTATAAACCAGGGGAGAGGAAGAGGGAGAACCTTGAGCAGGATAGGTGAGAAACAGTGCCATGGAAATGGGTGGCCAGGGAAGCCTCAATGCCAGAGTAACATTTGAGGTAGTTGTTGTTCTTAGGTCAGGTTCATGGGGGTAAGATGTGCATACAGAAAATCTCCCTTTCAGGTTTAAGGAGTTTTAAGGAATGTGTACATTCATGTAACTGTTGCCATAAACTGCCACCATAATTGAGATATGGAAGATCTCATCACTCCAAAAAATGCCTCTTCATAATTGGTCCCCTTCCTCTATTCTCAGCCTCTTGCAACCACTGCTTTGTTTTCTGTTCCTATAGTTTTGCCTTTTCCAGAATGTCACATGAATGAAATCCTACAGTTTGTAGCCTTTCTGTCTGGTTTCTTTCATTCAGCAAAATGCATTTGAGATTCATCTATACAGCTATGGGTATCAGTTGTTTCTTCTTATTGCTATTAATATTCTATTTCATAGATGTGTCATAGTTTATCCATTCACCTGTAGATATTTAGATTGGTTCCTGTTTTTGGCAATTATGAATACAGTTGCCATAAACATTCATGTACAAGCTTCTGTGTTAACATATGTTTACATTTCTCTTCAGTAAATATCTAGGAGTGAGATTCCTGGGTCCAATCATAAGTATATGCTTAATAAACATTAAACTGAAGAAAGAAACTGTCAAACTGTTGTCCAAAGTGCTGTTACGGTTTGCACTCCTGCGAGCAAAGTATGAGAGTTCCACTTGCTCTACATCCTTGCTAGAACTTGATGCTGTCAGTTTTTAAAATTTTAACCATTCTTATAGGCATGGAGCAGTTATCTCATTGAGGTTTTTGTTTGCAGTTCTCCAGTGACTAAAGATTTTAAGCATGCAGTAACATGTGACTCGAACTTGAAGATGATGTGCAAATGGGCTGTGCAGCTATGTGGGGAAGAGCCAGTTAGGGAGAAAAGCTAGAGCAAAGGCTGTGAGATGGGAGTATGCTAACAAGTTCAAGGCATAGAATGTCTTTGCAATATATATTTAATTATGAAATATGAAACTTTGTGCATTGAAACAAATAGTTAAAGAAGAATTTAATGATTCACATGTATATCTAATTTTATGGATTAAGTTACAGAATTTTGTTCTTTGGATACCTGTTGCTTTAGGATGAGTAAAGGCTAGGGGAGACTGATTTGAATAAGTCTCCAGCTTCCTAAAATCATAAGCCTTTACATTTTTAGAGTAAATGGAAAAGCAGCCAAAGACACATAGGCACCACTTAAAGAATCATGTATTATAACAAAAAAATTGTATTTCATAGTATGTATGTAATAATCAACAGAGGCAAGCATTTTAACTGCACATTGTATTTTCTCACTCTTCATCCTTTTGACTTCCTTGCAGCATTTAACGCTTCTTCCTCAGGCCCTTTTTCCACAATTCTGTATCTATTTGCTTCCATGGCCAAGCACATTCCTCTAATCTCCGGCAGCTCAGTTTTTAAATTCTGGTTTCCACATCTCCAACCTGCAGCCTCTGCACAAAGTTCAGTCTCTGTTCTCACATGTCATAGCCTCAGCCCCCATGTGTTCTCTCCCTTTTCTCCACTGGCATGGTACTTGAGTAGGCCACCAAAGACTTCCATGTTGTTTAATGCAGTGCTCAATGTCCAGTCCTCAGCAGCATTTGATTCAGGTAATCATGTCTGCTTTCTGAAACGCTTCAACCATTTGACCCCCAGGTATGACTCTCACCTGGTCTTCTTCTTTTGCTGGTGCTTCTTCATCTCATGGACTGCGGACACTGAAGGGCCCTGGAGCTGTTGTCTTCTCTATCTATACTAATGCCCTTCTTAATCTCATACAGACTTACTGCCATACATATTTCAATGCCCTCCATATACTCACAGCTCTACATGCCCACTTCTGGCCTGGATTTCTTTCCTCAAGTTTAAACTCATTTCTCCACCAACATATTTGACAGCTCTACATGCTCAGGACCGAATAGAAGCAGAGTCCATAAGCAGGCATGGTCTTCGGTCAGTTTCACTGTGTTCCTGAAGAACCTCAGATATATGTATGTTGAGTTTTTTTTTTTTTTTTCCCTGGAATTCGAAAGACTCTCTCCTGCTCAAAGAGTATGTAAACTCTCCTTTAATCCCTCTGTTTTCAAGACAGCATCTCTGCACTCAGACGTGTTGATGACTCCAAGCCACAACCCCCACCCCCCCAAATTTACTTGTACCATCTTCTAGGGTGAAAAAGCAGTGGCCCATGGCAACAGAGCTCTAACTAGTTCTTAAACAGACTTACAGTCTTTCTGTTTTCAGCCCCATCATCACTTCCTACTTCTGTAGCTACCTGGTATGGGAAATTTTCTAACCCTTTCAGAGAACCCGCATTAATTTAAGTCAGGTTGTTTCTTGGCTTTCCCTACTACTGACACAGGATTTAATATTCTCAGGTCTGCCAATTCATTTACCACAGGCCACCTGTTCTGTAACTTCAAGAAGTTGGTTGCTACTGTCTTTCTCCTGCCATCTTTGCCCTTGTGGATTTATGTCTTATTTAATATAAATCCTTTCAATGTGGCTTAGGTAGGGTTTGGAGAATAAGTGGGGTTATTTGTGTTTGTTCACTCTACTGTCTTTAATAATATGCATTATTACAATTTGTAATGTCTTTGTTACGCATTCCTCTTGCTTATTTTTAATTTTTGTTGGCTTTAATGCATTTACTTTATATTTGGTAATTTTTCCCTGAATTAGTTTTTTTAAAATAAAATTTATTTTTTTATTTTTTTATTTTTTATTTTTTTATTTTCTGAGACGGAGTCTCGCTCTGTCACCCAGGCTGGAGTGCAGTGGCTGGATCTCAGCTCACTGCAAGCTCCGCATCCCGGGTTTACGCCATCCTCCCGCCTTAGCCTCCCGAGTAGCTGGGACTACAGGCGCCCGCCACTACGCCCGTCTAGTTTTTTGTATTTTTTTAAATAGAGATGGGGTTTCACCGTGTTAGCCAGGATGGTCTCGATCTCCTGACCTCGTGATCCGCCCGTCTCGGCCTCCCAAAGTGCTGGGATTACAGGCTTGAGCCACCGTGCCCGGCCAAATAAAATTTATTTTTTAAGACAATTTTGGATTTATAAAAAATTGTGACAATACTACAGAGTTCCCATATACTCCATATCTAATTTCTCCACTACTAACATCTTATATTCAAATGGAATATTTATTACAACAAACCAATACTAAAAGATGATTATAAAGTGTACACTTCATTGAGATTTCCTTAGTTTTCATGTAATTCTTTTTTCTGTTCCAGGATCTCATCCAGGATATCACATAACAAATAGCCGTCATGTCTCCATAGCCTCCTTTCAACTGTGAGTTTTCTTAAAACTTTCTTTGTGTTTGATAACCTTCATGGTTTTAAGGAGTACTGCTTTATAGACTGTTCCTCAGTTGGGATCTATTGGATATCTTTCTCATAGGCTTTTCTTTTGCATTCCTGGAATGAACTTCTCTTAGCCCTGATGTATGATATTTTTCAATCTCATTTGTTAATGCCTTATTTTGAATTTTTTGCTTATATGTTTATAAGTGAGATGGTCTCTAATTATGTTTTTTTCATACTGACCTTGTCCGGTGTGTTACCACGGTAACACAAGGTAGATAACAGAAGTGAGTTTCTTTCTCTTTCTATTGAATGGGACGAAAAAGATAGTTTCTCTTTTACATGAAGGTTTAGTAAAGCTAGAAATTATCCTTTATTTTTATAGATCTATTCGAATAGCATACTGTATTATTTTTAAAATTTATATTGGTTTTGTAGTTGTTCCCTTTTCACCTCCAACATTTTTTTCTTGATCAATCTTGCCTGTTTGTCTATTTTATTATTGTTTTTAAAGAACAATTTTTAGTTGTCTTCTATTGTTTATTTGCTTTCTAGTACACGCATGTATGCTTTCAGCTTTATTGGTTCCTTTTTATTAACATCTATGTTATTCTGTTATTCTCCTAATTTTTGAACATAACACATTGTTAATTTATTAAGATAATTATTCCCAAAGTTCTCTTCTTCACCCCATACAAATAAAGCCAGGCTGATTTCTAGGCAATTATCAGCCCCCACTGAGTGTCATCTTGAGTGTATATGTTGTTGGCATTTTTAAGGCCTAATCAAAGAAACCGAAGCACAATCTCTGAATTTGAGGAATTCAAGTAGAGGAATGACAAGGACAACAACAGGCAAGAAAAAAATGAATCTGAAAAGGAGCCAGGGCAGGTCCAAAAACGGCTGCTCACTATAATAAGCTATGTTTATTAAATTAGCGATGGAAAGATCCCAAGACACGAAAACAAAAGATGTAATAACGATGGCACATGGTGTCATGGAAAGGCCTTCCCAAACACAGAGCCACTGTTCCTTCTTAGAGGAAAACATATCTGTAGTTCCCACAAGGGTATCATATACTCAACTCAGGAGACACATTAAAATGTGCAGATATATTCCAAACCGGAATTCCTACACACTGTGCCTGAAAGGCAGGGTGCAAAAAGCCTAATTATGGGCCTTCTGGGTTCTCTGACTTTTATAAAACCTCGGAAGAGAGACTCATCATCCTAATTCTGTAAAGTAAATACAACATCAGGAATCTGTTAGTCTGAGAAGGTATGCTGAAGCATCAATAAATGCTTATGAATCAACATGAGCCCCCAAGTCAA